CAAAAACCTAATACAATTATGAATTTCTAGCTATTTCGGTTAAAATAATTTAATTTACTGTTTTTTTTTCAGTTTATTATTATCAAACTTTGTTTTTATTTGATAATATATCTCTAGAATTAACTTAATGATTAGGTGTATATATTTAAATAAACCTTTACTAAGAAATATTATTAAAATAAAAAATAAAAAAAAAGCGGGTAAGTGGATGTCGCTCTGCTGTACAGTAGGTTACAAATGGCTGATTGTATAATGGATTGTATTTAAACTTGAATTTAATAAGAAAAACAATTCTGAGCTGAGACGGTTTGTCAGTCTGGATATTTTATATTGTTACTATTTCTTATATAATGTAAGTTGAATAATTAATATTATTATATTATAATTTTTTATTCGTTTCTATGGTGATAAACAAAACGTTAAAAATTAAAATCCCATTATTAGCGGTTTTTCGTAATTTTTCGGTGGTTTTCCCCGTAGTATAATATAACTATTGATAACAAAAATTACCTCTCTAAAGTACCATCTTGATGAAATTTGCTAAAATATAAGGTACTATATGTAAAAATCGAAGCACTCCTTCTGGTATAAATTTTGTATACAGGATATAAAAAAAAATAAACAAATAAATAAACACCATTGTAAAACCACTAGCTTCCTCTCAACACTCAGAATCTAAAATAAATGAATATATTAAAGAAAGTAACGACAATAACTGAGTACCTTAAAATTATTTTTTAAGTAGGAAAAGTTGAGACAAAAAGTAAGTATATTTTTAATGACTGATGAATGTTATAATTTTGTTCATACGGAGGATAATTGTTAATGTCTATTTAAAACCATGACAGAAACTTTTAATCAAATGTCTAGATATGTTGAGGTTTTGAGGTTAACGGACCTAGAAGAAGAATGGATGTGAGATAAAATTATTCTGAACATTGAACAATATTTACAAATTGCTTGTTAATTTTATTACCTACTTGTAACTGTATTATGTCAAACAATATTTTATTACAGATTAGTTTATTATTTGTATGAACTCTTGTAACTAATCAAAGTAAATATAATTGGATATAGACGTTTAATTTCAATGAGATCATTAATGACGGATTGCGCAGAAGTTTCGCTTTGATATGTGGGTCAGCTTTTCAATAATACAAGATAATCCCATTTTAACAAAGTTAAGCAATTTGTTTTTATATGGATATTATATGATAGTGTATACTTAAAGAATGTTTGAAATTGGTGTAGATACTTCATTGAAAGATGATATTTATAAATTATAATTGAGTAAGTACCTACATAATCCGTTTACTTTAATCTCTTCACTCTTGATTGTTCTTGTCATGAACAGTATCATATCAATCAATTCACTGTGTATTAGTATTTAAATGCGTTAGTTATATCAAAAAAAACAATATCATGTTTATAATAATATAAATAATAATATATGTTGTAAGTGGTATTCATATTTAATGTTTTTGAAGTAATCATGAATGTATGAAAACCCTTTCGAGCATTTATATGAAATTAACAAAACAATTTTCTTTTGTTAGGTACCTACCTACCTAAGCCTAATTGTTTCCATGTTTAAAAAACCATGCACACAAAAACTATTCTTATAAAACCATGTATTGTGCGTTAGACGTTAATGCGTATACGTGTAATTTAGCAGTTATAAATTACGTATTGGGTTTTCATAATTTTAATTAAGAGCATACAACAACAATAGTTGAATAATAATAATATGTGATATTAATAAATAATTATAATTGGTATAGTAATAATATTATTATTATTTTAATTCACTGAATTTTTTTGTTTTTTGTTTTCTGACAACAATAATATTTCATAAAACACTGCCCTCCTGTTTATTAAGTTAATTACTGAATGAGTTTTCCTCATTTTATTTATATTGATTTTAATGGTATTAAACGTTTGTACGACTGCCTATATGTGTTTAATTATTTTGAAAACAAAATTAATTTTGTGTCAAATGTCAAGTGTGGAAAACAAGAACTATACAATATTCAATACAATGGCATTTGAACAATGTTTTTGAAACTATTGCTATAGATGAATAAAATATTAGTCAGACGTGTGAATTCCCTCACACATCGTATACGAGTATAATAATATAAACGCGAGGAATATCTTAACTGTGTCATTTATGAATAAACTATACAATTGGAACGATGTACTTAACCGTTTTTTTTATTAGTTATATCACGACGAAAAATACATTTATGAGCTGTTGCAGAGGGGGAGAAGTAATGTTAAAAGAGTCGCTTATTATTACCCATTTTGTATGATACGTTGTAGGTTTTTATACAGACAGACTTTGAATCACATAATAATAATATGTCCCCTTACTCCACGTACTGCGTAGTGAATAACTTTTCACGACGACGTCATCCATACAATCATTATAATATAATATTACCCAACAATTTGACTACAAATATATGAAAAGCACGGTGTGCCGTTTTCAAGGATTACTATCGTTCGGATCATTCGTTTTAAATTGTTATTTTACTGTAGCGCTGAGCCAAATTTGTAAATAATTTTTATGGGGACAACGAGGTACACGCGTAATATCGATACGTATAGACATATATTTGTTGTACCTGGTGAATTTAAACTTTTTGCTAGTGGGAAAATTTTCCAAATGAAAAAAATAATGCGGTCGTTGAGGAACTATCTGTATTTACAAGACGTATTGTGGGATGAATAAACGACATTTGCTGTTTGTGTCACAAGCATATAATAAAATAATGATTGAGACGCAGATATTTATAATAGCAGTTTTTGTAAGTCAAAATGATAGTAAGTCTTTAAGCTGGAATACACTTTCGTACTTTCTGCCAAGGGTCTCGACCTGGCAGAAGGAATAGGGCTATTGTTCACCACGGCGATAGCCTAATTAAGTGGTAAAGCGAACAACCGAGTCATTTGTTTCGTTTGAACGTGGAGCAGCTTACATCGGTGGACACAGGTAACAAGGAGGTATACCGCGATTGCCAAGCTGAGGGTTACACGATTTAACACTGTAGTCGTCTAATGACGTTGGCAGTAGCGGTTACCCATCGCACCACACTTCCATTATATTATTATACTTACACACACACACACACACACCCAAAATGTATAAGTTGTTCGTATACAGAGTGGTTATTTTATCGTGGTCCATGCAAAATCTTAGAAAATACAAGAGAACTTGATTTTTATTTATTATTAATTTTAAGATCAAAAACTGATTACTTATTATAGAGATATTACGTGTTCAAGTATGTACCTATGTTTTTAATGCATATCAGGAAAGAAAATTAATTTAAAAGTCAAATGTGTTTCCTGCAATATTATAAGATGAAATTCAATCCTCCTGTAAACATCTAAACTTCCGTAGGTAATAAATACCTTGGCATGGAGTCGTTTTGTAACGCGATATAATCGCTTGAGTTATAAATTAAAATATCATAGTACCCGTAAACGATGCCTGTAGTAAAAATCCATGACACTGCACACCGGTACAGGATATATGAATTATATATATATATATATATTGATGTAATATTATTTCATATGTGCCACGTACGTCCGAAAATCAATCGATACAAGCACTGAGATTCAATTTGAGTAGGTAACGCGTAACTGTATTTATTTAAATATATACGTATAAGTGAGCATACCAATTTACTATGGATCTCGGTTCACTTAAGTATAAATAATAAGTTTCCAATTAAAATTGTCGTCAATATGATGATCATACCAGTGTGCTGTCTGTATACCCTGTGAGTATGTTATAATCGGATTATATATTATGACGCTAGTATAATAATGAAATATGTTAACTTCGTCGACTGACCTAATTGCACTCTTGATTGTGCGATTTTCAATCAAGGTCCATGCGTGCTTTACCGATCGTCTGCATACTATAATAATATAATATTCTATTATATGGAAATGTTATTATATTATAATACTGTTTTCACCACGTTGCAGCTATTGTCATAATTATGTGTACACAGTTAATTTACTAGAACCCGTCAAAATACAATTTGTACGTCTGCATTGAACGTGTAAAATCGATAAACGTGGTAATTAATTTTTTTACCAAATAATTTTGAGAGAAAATTTAAATTTAATCATGACGGTTCTATCGTTAAATAATAATCAAGCAAAAATTGATATTTTATAATAAATTATAGTCTTTGATAAAACTAATTTCCTGTCTTCTATGGTTTTTAAAAATGTTATTATTGTTTGTTTTAATCCTATTCACTTTAAACATAGAAATATGTTACCACTTAAATATTTTATCAAAAGTGTTTTTTTTAGAATAAACGGTTGTCACTTTGTTAGTCATTATATTTTAAATATTTTTTAGTCACAAAGCAATCTTGCAAATGAAGGATTTGGAATAATATCCATCACGGATGTTTTATACAAAGAAAAACAAGTGGCAAAAATGTACGTAGGTATACTATGTATATTCATATTATAATATCATTATAACGTACTATAAGAATTGAGCTTTTTCTTTGGCATGGTAAAATGGCAGAAAGAATAGTACGACGTATCCGACATGGAGGTACAGAATAAAATAAAATAAATATTTTAATTTAAAATTAAAATACTTTAGAAATTTGCCTTCTCTTTTGAATTAGGTATTATTTTGTTTTTAAAAAAATAGGTATCCGTAATAACTACATCAATAAAAAAAAAATTCTTTAGACTAGGTATATGCAATAATAATATGATTGATCACAAGCCCTCACTTCAAAACTATTCAAACTCCTCCCTGAAGCCAGCTTATTCACAGCGGAAACCCAAGCTATTAAAGAAGCTTTAATATTCGGAAGTCAAAATTCTCAAATAAAATTTTAATAATCAGCGACTCCCTAAGTGCCCTTCTAGCCATCGAAGCACCGAACCCCTCTAACGAGTTAATTTACCAAATCCACAACATCATCTCATCGACCCATAAAGCAATCGAATTCATGTGGGCTCCCTCACATACGGGTATCTCTGTAAATGAAAAAGTGGATATGCCGGCAAACGAGGCAATCACCCCGACCTCATCCACAACCATTACTACTCTTCCATACCAAGACGTAAAAAGATGTATAAATATACACACTACCAATATGTGGCGAACATCCTGGGATGAAATACCAATCACAAATAATCTAAAATCTATTAAAAAGAAAATCACTAAATGGTATACTCAGCCCAATGCCTCTAGACGTTCCGAAATTATCAATACCAGAACAAAAGTCGGTCATACCAACCTCATCCACATACATATCATAAGACACGAAGAATAACCCCTCTGTAGCCAATGCAACGAACAGCTCTCAATCAAACACATAGTTCTATATTGCGCACTATATGTCAATGCAAGAAACATCCTCAACCAACCTTCATCGATGGAGGAAACACTAGGAGAACACAACACGCACTTGATCCATAGCTTCTTCAAATCCATCGGCATCGACAAAAAAATGTAATATTAAGATAAAACTACATAATTATCAAATATAATATAAATATATAATTCTGTAACAACCACTTATCCCATAACTATGGACTCTTAATTTATAATCTAATTATATATCCATTAATAATAATGTAACTAAAACTGCAGGCTAATGACCTAGCTGTTGAAGCCTTTATTACCAATAAAACAAAAAAAAAAAAAAAATATGATTGATAAATGAAAATGTAATACATTCATCAAATATTGTGATTGTAAATATTTATCATATTTTTATCGTCATTGACGAAATAAATGGATTCAATGAAAAAAAAAACATTCGATTTAAACAACCATAAATTAATAATTATTGCAATTTAAACATTAAAACCTACCCATGTCAATATCAACATAATGATTACTTATCAAGCATTCCTTGCAAGGAAGGCAAATAATTGACTAATATCTAAAATCACGTTTTATTTGCTTATAGTCATTTTCAAATATTGTTTAAAATTTACAATACAATATTATCTAGGTTGTAAATAATGAAATAAATTACTGTAATAACTCGTAATAATAATATCATGAGTCCATAGTCATATTATTATGTATTCCGGTTACAACATTTACAATGACATATTATGCATTGACTGCTGCCGAAACCAAAATGTTCAATCACCATAAAATTACGCGATGGTAAATTTATAAATGTATAATGTTATATTAAAATATTGTGGTGTGAAATATAGCAATGGCTTACGAAATACGATTTGGTCACATTAATTTATTGATTTTCAAATATAGTAAATAAGAATATATAGTAGTCACTTTCTTTAATGTACATACCATGTACGTTTCGTTTTACATCAAAATCATTTCCGAAGGTACTTTTATTATTTATCTGCTCTCTTATTCAATCGTGTATAAAAGTCCCTGTGGTCTCCTTTTATGCCAAAACCTCACGCGATAACATAATAGTATGTGTAATATCGTAAGGGATTTATATATTATTTTTTTCACACGTCGCTTGAGTACCAAATTCGAATTACGACGATTGGTAGTAGCCTGAAGGAACAATGTGTGGAGAATTTTTAAGTAATGGTTATATTACAATAATAATAGTAACAATATGGCAGTGGATTTTTTTTTTTTAGCTTGAATATTATTCTGAATTTTCCATCGTATCTCCCAACGACGGATATTATAATATCCGTAAGTACATAATGCATGTACATGTTATCCAACTTATGATTACAGGAGATTTGATTTTTGATTGTTTCGTTTGATAAACTCCAGGTAAATGGGAAATGAGTTTATTTCGCCTAGAAATATTTTGCACGTAATTTTGTGCCAAGCAAAAATATCATAAATTTGCATCCGGAATGAAATTAATTTGCACATCGTGGGTCTAATTACGGTGGATAGATATTATGTATAAATATGATATCACTTTGCAATGGTTTTCGTACATCGAGGTATTGTTTGAGAGCCACCTACACGTAGCTGTAGTGAAATTGCCTATACACCACGCCGCCGGTCATCGGATATAAATAATAATAAAAACAACAACTATTGTTTTCCAAACGTAAAAACATACATTATAATTCAATTCACGTGCGTGTGTAAGACTCTAATAAAAATAAGTATAAAAAATAATCAAAAATACAAATAAAAATGCTAGGTGCTAAACGTGTTTGTTTTAGGACCATATACCTATCGCTTATTATATTTTATGATTTATGTTTTCACTAGAGTAAAAAATTAGGGAATTTTGTATCTATCATTATAAATGTTTTGTTTGGAAAACACGTATCTTATAAGTTGGAATAATAAATAAAATCGATTGATTTATGTACAATACTCATTACCAGGGCTCGTAACTTCATGCACTAAAAAATGCATAAATAAGCATGCATTCATGCACTAAAAATTGTCAAAATATGCATTAAAATATGCACTTAAAAGTTCAAAAATAGGCATTTATATGCCTTCACATTTTTAAATTATAAACTCAAAATATGCATTATGTAAAAAAAAACATGACCAAATTTTAAAGTTAGAATAAATCCATACATTTTAAAAGTATTTTATTCCTTTTTATTTTTATATATTTAACAGTCAAAATTAATAAAATAAAAAATAAAATTAATACTTGTGAAGTTCAAATAGCTTTGTTATCTTTATAAATTTTAATTAGGTAGTAATTTTTGTCTAATTTGTATACACCCTTATTCAGCACCAACAATGAAAACATTTGGAATTAAATATTAGATTTTTCATTTTGAGATAATTTAGTAATATATATTTTATAAGTGTATTTTTTATGTTTTTCAACTTAAGAGGGCGCACTAGTAGACAAAATATGGCATAAAACCATGGTTTCGTAATTCAAGTAATAAGGCTTATTGAAGTGGCTTACAGTAAAAATACCTATTATAAAAATTGTAGAGTAGAACTTTTTTTACAATCGTAAGAAGCCCGATTTTCAATATTTTTATTAATTAGCTAAATAATTAATCAATAAAAAATTTAAAAAAACATTATAATTTACCATGCGATATTGGACGATTGGAACAAGATATCAAAAATCGGAAGAAACTTTTCAAATATTTGTCTAAAAAATATTTTTATGAAATAATATGCACTAACGACTGTAAAAAATCAACTATATGCCAAATATGACTTTACACCCAAAACATGCAAAAACATGCACTATCAAACTTCATATTATTATTACTATTGTTATGAAACGGATTTGTATCTCAGTTAGCATGTTTTCCTGTGTAGCAAAAAAAACATGCAGATGCATGAACTTACGAGCCCTGCAGTCATTACAAATGTGAAACGGTAATGGTGAGTCGTTGGCACGAAGCACAGTCCTGTGAAATTAAAGAACTCCTTGGATTTTAGAGTAATCACAATATTTTAATAAAGTTTAATATTATATGTTTATATTTACAAACTGGGGACAGAGTGGTTAGATCCAGTTGACAATAGGTGGCCAGCACGGATGATAGTCCCGAGTTCGCCTGTCAATACTAGCCAAGTCAACGGTAGTTTTAAAAGTGAAGACTTACCGAAAATGTACATAAAGAGTGTGTCGCGGGAATAGGGCCAAAATATATTATGGAGTTTTATCAACTTAGAATGGGATTGGAGGGGTCTAGATAAGCTCATTCAATCCGTTAGATGTAGCGTAGCTAGAAATGGTAGAGGGGGGTTAAACACCCAAAACCCCTTCTGCCATTAGATAATGACATTTAGTTAGCTAAATGAACATATAGGACGAATGTGTACGTTTGTACACGTTTGAGTACGACGAATTTGTGAAAAACTTCAGAATTCACTCACTTCAACATCAAAAAACTATAATTATGAGGTAAATACATTTTTTAAACCAGAGTTCCGTAAAAAAAGACGAACATCAAAACATTGTATGTTTGGTTTGAACTAGATGGGGCACCTCCTTACACTGTCATCTCTACAATGAACGTCGTAAGCCAAGATGTTCCCCAACCACCTAATATCACGTTTTATGGATGTGAATTGGACCGCTAGTCGTCATAATAAGTTCGATTATTTTTTAAAAACTAAAATGACACTTGTTTATTTATAATAAAATAATTGTAAATTTAAAATAACCTAAGCTATGTCTATTTATTTTTGGTCCCATTTACCCATCATGGATACCTATATAAATCTAATTTCGTGTCGAATAACCGGTTCTCGTCGGTCAGATAAGTCAGTGATTTTACTTGATTACTAGAATTAAATTGTTTTCCTGGCAATTGTAATATTATATCCCAATAAAACACTCAGCCAAACTCCTTGTAGAAAAAACACTAAGTATTAACTATAGATATAATTTATGTTAAAATAGTCTGATAAATAATTTAACTTAGCGTGGTGACTTTAAAACACTTGATTAGTAATTCAATAGTAATTCATCAACCCCCACCCCACCCAAAAATAAAAGAATGTGTGTGTTGATAATTATTATTATTAACTATACTGTCTGGAATACTGACTTAGCATTTCTAAAGCCTCCCCGAAATGAAATCGTATGTACGTCACTGGTGCGGTCAGTCATCCGTAAGTACAAGTGTTTGTTGTTGCCTATTGCGGTGTGGTCGGAAGTAGATATAGTGTTGGTTGTGGAGATGACCCGTTACACATTATATAGATATAACTATTCGTCCACATATGAATTATTATAATAAGTAATTTTGTCTGAAAGCTAAATCAAGTATCTACTATGTATAATACTGTATTCAATTCAAAATGATTTTCCCAGACTACTAATTTAATGACGTAAATATAACACAAGAGAAAAAGTCCTACATTTATGGGTGGGTTTGAAAAGAGTATTTTCCGAATAAGTTATAATTTATCAACACGAAAAAAACAATCATTTGGTAGAAGGTTTTAAGTTTTACCACGTGAACGGTCTACAAATAAAATGGCTTATGCTGAACAAATGAACAATGTATATATTTCTAATTTTTTAGCTTTCGCAGTAATCATAACTTGATCCACGCTTAAGACACTACGTCGTGTTGTACGGACTCTGGATTTCTTTTAACATCGTTTTTGTAATGTGAAATTATGCAACATCTAAAACTATATATAATTTAATATTCTATCAGATTCAGAAGTTAAAATATGATATTTACTTAAACGATAGAAAAAAAACATAATACTATTATAATAGGTAGGTTGTAAAAAAGAAAATTAGATATTTTTTCGAATAACACAGAGAATAATAAAGAAAGTAGTTTTTTTTTTTTCTAAATCACATTAATAAATTTAGATGTAAAATCTTAAGAATAATATGCGCCTGAAATATTT